AGGTTTCTAATTTCATAACATATCGCCATTTTTATTAATAAATCATTAAGTCAATTAATAGTTTTTAATGATACTAGAAATATGTTTTAATTAATAATTTAAATAATTTTATTATTGTATAAGAGAACAGTTATGAATTTCTTTTTTTTAGTTAATTCTATTAAATAAAAAATTCTAATAAGGAGATATTTGTAATTTTCTAAATCACAGGGATAATTTGTACTTTAAACAAACCTCAGGGTGTGTAATTGTAATTTACCCTTTTTTTTTTATCACACTTCTAATAAAAGTGAGATATTTTCATTTGTCAAAATGTGATCTTTAAATGTTTTTGTAGTAATGATTATTTTTTTAGTTGGTTTTATTCAATGGAAATAAGTAGTTGTTTATATTGAAAACAAATCAAAAATATTAGGATTTAAATTGATAAAATTAAAAATTTAGAGTTTATTTTGTTACGATGGTCAAACTCTAGGAATTATTATTATTACGGGATTTTTTCTTCTCTTTCGTAAAAGAATATACCCAAAAAATGAATAGAGAAGAAAAAAAAAGGAAAAAAAAAGACCTCCTGATATCTATGTTCTTCTATTTTTGTGCAAGTTGTGTTTTAGGTTTTATTTTCCAGCACTTAGGCTATAGGTCTATTTTTAAACTTGTGAGTCAATAGATCGAAGTTTTAATCTTTTGGATCTAAAAAGACATTTACTTGTCTAAAATCACACCTAATTGTACAAATCATGCTTATCTATCTATCTAAATATCAACTATATATATACGTGTCACTTATTTATCCATCTATTTATCTAAACAACATTGATAGAGACCCCCTCCAATCCCCCCTCCCCCCACCCCCCCCACACACGTGGTGGGTAGTGATTGGAGGAGAAGGAAAAAAAAAAAAAACTGGCCAATTTCAGGCCAGTGGGGGTCGTGGGGGTCCAAATCATTTTTCTAATAAATAATTGTTTTTCCCAGAAATTTTGCTAGTTTTAGACTGAGAAAAAGGAAATATTGCATCTGCAGAGGATCTGTTGAATTGTATAAGAACATTTTAGTGTAACACGGAACATCATTTGTTGGCTAAATTTTGTAATTGGGTTCTTTGCATGTTAGTAATATTATAACCGACAAACTTAGGGAGTGGGAAGGTGTGGGGAACTACGGGATTGATTTTTTTCTTCTTTTTCCCCTTAATAGCACAAAATCAACTAGGTTGGACATAAATAATGATTGTCTTTCTTATTCACTGAGCAGTGAACCATTATTTCATGGTTTATTTTGTGTCTGCTTTTAGAAATGTATAATACATGCTCCTCCTCTCTCTGATATGGATCAGATTGGTAAAGTTGGTAAAGTTCAAAAAAAAATTAAAATTTTAATTTATTTTATTAAAATAGCATACTTAAAGTTAATAAATTTGATAAAATTAAATATTTGATATAAAATAAATATTAAGTATTTAAAAATATGATATATAATAAATATATAAAATTATATGTTTTGAACATGTCCCCAACATGTCGTGCCCTGCATCTTTTAAAAATTTGTGTGTCCGTATGTCTGTGTCGTGTCACATATCCGTGTCCGTACTTCTTAACTAATAAGAGATAAATAATAGGGTAAATTATGTAGACCTCCCTCAAGTAAAAAGAAATATAGATAGCTTCATAGTCTTGGCATGATTACACTGTACATACCTCAAAATTTAAATTCATTTAACACTTTAACACGTACAGTTTGTTAATCTCATGGATGGAAAATAGTGGCCATCACGTTTATACTAAAATATCTATCATACCCTTAAACGTAGATAATTACTTATATCCAAGCACCAGTATTCCTTAATTGAATCACATTTTTCTAAAAGGAATCACACTCCATCTTCTCACTCTCTCTCTCTCCCCCTGCTCCCTTGCAACCCCATCTATCTCAGCCACCCCACAACCTAACTCTCCCTCATCACTGAAGGTAGATTACCTTCAGCATAACTACGTCTGCTAATGTTTGCTAAGGTCCCCCAAGTAACTCTCCCTCATAACTGCTAATAGTTAGGTTGACAACGTCTTTAGCATCTGCTCAAACGTAGATTACCTTCAGTACTACAAGTAATTCTATTTAGATGAACTGTCCCTTGGAATATTTCGAGTGTATCTTAAACTTTAATAACTTTTTGAAATGCATATTCAATTTTAATTACTGCCATTTACTAGACAAGAAATATTTAGATGAACTTGCTACTATTTGATTTCTTGTAGTACTGCCATTTACTTTTTGATTAGTTACATTGTCTATCACACTGTTGGGCTATTGGTGTTTGCTACTGTTCGTTAATTTTATGACCTTATTGTTTGAATAGGTTTTGATGCGTTATATTAGGACACTTAGCACCTGTAGTTTGGATACTCTGAAGGACTTCAATTATGAAATGGTTGAACCGAGTACATAAATGGTCTTAGGGGAGAGTTGAGCAGAATACTCACATTAGCACAACAAGACATTTCTGTAGTTGACAGGGAGAGTTGAAGAGAAAAGGAGATTGTCTGAGGGGATTCATCAAGCTATAGGAGCTAAAGAAGGTGTCAAAATTGAGATATCTCTTGAGGTTTCAATCTTTATGAAGTTTTTCTTTTACATAAAAACTTTCTTTCTTATTGTACTCAAAGCCATATTATCCTTACACTTGTTAGGCTCAATTCCTTTAACCCAGCAAAAACCATGATTGATGAATTGATTACAAAGATTCAGTGCTTTTATATTTAATCTAATCATAACAAACTAATCTAACCATGGTTTAATTCTAACAACCTAACTACTTGAAACAGTTATGCTAGTTCTCTTTATAACACGTAAGCATGACTGAAGCTACAGCCCTTTCTGTTCTGACTTTAGCTGCTCGGGCTGCGGCTGGTACTGCAGCCTTGCTGTGTTGACCTGGCCTGGTCTTGCTGCAGCTGGGGTTGCAGTGGCAAGCTCTGGCTTATGCTCTATTTTGATATAATGTGTACCTGTCATATTTACATGTAGTGAGATTTGTTATTATACTTATAAAAATTTAATTACTGAGAAATATATCATGCATCCATAATCATGTCATATCATCATTGTAAATTTTTTTCCCTACTTAGCACAGCAAGTTAATATATATATATATAATTTAGGTAAAAATAAAGTGGGTGGTGAATTCTTATCATTCATTGTGTTATAATGGATGATTCATGTTTTTCTACTTCAAAATCTTCATTGACAATGTGCCACAGTGTAATTTTGTTTCCTTTTCCTGCCCCCTTAGCAGCCCAATGCTATTATAACTTTAATATTCGGATCCATCATGATTTTTCTTGATCTTTTATGCTATTATAATTTTATGTCTATAGTTGTTAACTGGGTATTTTAGTTGTGGTTTCACTAATAGATAGCTTTTGCTAGAAAATTGAGTATCTTGTCTTATCAGTTTCACTAATTGATTTGTGTGTCTTTCTCTTTGCAGCTAGCAGAAGCAGCAAAAGCACAATTTTCACGTGATTACAGTGATAACCTTGCTCTTATCCGGGCTTATGAGGCCTGGAAAGAAGTTGAAAGAGACGTAGCTGGATATGAATACTGTTGGAAGAATTTTTTTTCTACTCAATCAATGAAAGCTATTGATGCTCTGTAAAGGGAGTTCTACTCTTCACTTAAGGAATATGTTTTAAATTTTAATGCTAAGTGGATGTGAATTGGATGATTATATAGATTACAAGCGGATTTTTAATTGAACGAATATGTAGTTTGGAATTACTTGTGGATGAAAATTTATAATAGTTGCTGACTTTAATTAAACAGGTTTAGAGTTTGATGATTTATATAGTTTGTTGAATGGTTATGGTTCAGGTGAATTGTTGGTTTGATTGATTATTGTAAATTACAGATTGTATTGAATAGATTGGATATATTATTATGAATTACAGGTTTATTTTATTTCATATTGGCGTAAACATTCCTTTTGGCGACCAAAACTTTTTGGTCCTAGAATGTCACAATTGGCGACCAAAATTTTTGGTCGTGGAATGCCACAATTGGCGACCAAATTTTTTAGTCGTGGAATATGATAATTGGCAACCAAACCATTTGGTTGTGGAATGTGACAATTGGCGATCAAATTTTTTTGTAGTGGAATGTGCCAATTGGCGGCTAACATATTTGGTCAGGAATACGTCACTTTTCGCAACTAAATTGTTTTAGCGACTAAATGGATTAGTCGCAGTAATGATATATTTAGCGATTAAAAATTTAGTCGGAAAATTTAACTTTTTCCCGACTAACAAAAGTTTTAGTCGCTAATTACTTTTGCCGACCCTCAATTGGCGACCAAGGTGGCGACCAAAAAAATTGGTCACGAATAACTTTTGCCGACTAAAAATTGACTTTTGCCGACCAAATTTTTAGTCGCCAAAAATGCGATTTTCTTGTAGTGAATATTGCCGACCAATCTTTTTGGTCGTGGAATGTATTGCCCACCAATTTTTTTGGTCGCGAAATGTGACAATTGGCGACCAAATTAGTTGGTCGTGGAAATGGGCGACAATTGCCGACCAAACTATTTGGTTGTTGAATGTGCGAATTGGCGACTAACATGTTTGGTCCGAAAAATATGACTTTTCGCGACTAAAGTGTTTTAACTACTAAATGGATTAGTCGCAGTAATTATATATTTAGCGACCAAAAATTTAGCCGGCAAATATAACTTTTTCGCGACTAAAATATTTTTTAGTCGCTAATTACTCTCCGCGACCCTCAATTGGCGACCAAAGTGGCGACCAAAAAAATTAGTCGCGGATAACTTTTGCCGACTAAAAATGGACTTTTGCCGACCAAATTTTTAGTCGGCAAAAGTACGAATTCTTGTAGTGACTGTAGCCAACTTGCAAGTCATGGCTGATGGTGGAAGTCATGATGGACGATGGATACAATTACATAGTTGTGGTGCAACATGATGGCAGTGTGTATAAGAATGAGTAATACATTTATTCCTTCCCATCACAATCCATCAAATTACTATCCTTCTTACTCTTCTCTTCTTTTCATATCTCTATCTCTTTCTCAATCCTCCTACCTGTAAGAAAACAAAATGAGTTGGCTTATGTTTCTTCATCAATTTCTTTTACTATTTCTCTTGTCTTCTTCTACTTGTGCACGCCATACCTGCCTTGAGGACCAGGGATTTTCACTTCTCCAATTTAAAACAACATTTACCATAACTCCTGATGCCTCTTCATATTGTGAATCTGATTCTCATCCTAAAATGGTGTTTTGGAATGAGGGTAGTGATTGTTGCTCATGGGAAGGGGTCACATGCGACTGGTCGAATGGTCATGTGATTGGACTTGACCTCAGTTACAGCCAGCATCATGGCACCATCTAAGACAACAGCACCCTCTTCCACCTTCGTCACCTTCAAAGCCTCAATCTTGCTTTCAATGACTTCAATTTGTCTAGAATTTCATCCGAGTTTGGCTTGTTTGCGAGTTTGACCCATCTCAACCTCACTTACTCTAATTTTGCAGGCCAAATTCCTTCAAGAATCTCCCATCTATCCAAATTGATTTCCCTTGATCTCTCTTATTTAAATGAATATTATTTTTCTTATTATGATGAGGGGAGAATTAAACAACACACTTTCAATATGCTCCTTCGAAACCTAACCCAATTGAGAGAACTACACCTTGATTGGTTGAATATCTCATCAACTTTACCTCATGCTTTGCTAAATCTATCTTCTTTGGCATCACTCAATCTTTTTTATTGTCAACTGCATGGGAAATTCTCAGAAAACATTTTTCTCTTTCCAAACCTACGAAAGCTCAATGTACAGGGAAATTTGGAACTCACAGGTAAACTTCCCTACTTCAATGTGACTAGTTCCTTTCAGTTTCTTGATCTCTCCGATATATGTTTTTCTGGCCAATTGCCTAAATCAATCAGCAATCTTAAAGCCTTGAATATTTTGCAACTCTATCATTGCAACTTTTCGGGGTCAATTCCAGCCTCTTTTGGGAACCTTACACAAATCACCAAGTTAGGCTTCGGGTTTAACAATTTCAACGGTCAAATCCCCTCATCAATTTCAAACCTCACAAAGCTTTCTTACTTGGATCTTTTCATAAACAATTTGAGCAGAAAAATACCGGATTCCCTTGGTAACATGAGCCAACTTACTTGTTTGGATCTTTCATTTAACAATTTGAATGGTGAAATACCGGATTCCCTTGGCAACATGAGCCAACCTACTAACTTGGTTCTTTTCGGAAACAATTTGAATGATCAAATACCAAATTCCTTTGACAACATGAGCTAACTCAATCAACTGCACCTTTCTGATAAGGTCTCATTCCTTCATATGCAGTTGGGCTTTCAAAGCTAACTTCTATCATATTGAAAAATAACAGACTCAATAGGACAATTCTGTCTTGGTTGTTTGGTCAACCTTCATTGGTTGATATATATTTGAGTAACAATATGCTATAGGGACCAATTCCAGGATCAGTTTATGAACTCCAGAACCTAACAGACTTGGTGCTTTCATCAAATAACTTAAGTGGTGTAGTGGAGTTAGATAAGCTGCTTAAGCTAAAACATTTGTCCTACCTTGATCTCTCATATAATGGTCTCTCATTGAACATCAACAATAGTGTCAACTCTATTTTTCCCTACTTTGACACGATAAGATTATCTTCTTGCAACTTAAGCGAATTTCCAAAATTCTTGAGAGAACATGCCGGATTGCGTTCTCTAGACCTTTCAAACAACAAAATTCATGGTGAAGTTCCAAAGTGGATATTCGATGTGGGGAAAGATTCATTGTATGATTTAAATCTTTCTCATAATTTCCTCACCAGTTTAGAGCATCTTCCATTGAAAAATCTAAGATCAATTGACCTACACTCCAACTTGCTCCAAGGATCACTCCCTCTTCCACCAAACACCACAGATTTCTTCTCTATCTCGGACAATAAATTGATAGGAGAAATAACTCCATTGATTTGCGGTCTTTCACTTGCAGTTCTTGATGTGTTTAATAACAGTTTGAGTGGCTTGATTCCACAATGTTTGGAAAACTTAAGCAATTTTCTCTCGGTGTTGAATGTAGGGAACAATATATTTCGTGGTACCTTTACTACAACATTTACAAAAGGAAACATGCTAAGGAATCTTAACTTAAATGGCAACCAAATTAAAGGACAAGTTCCACAATCTTTGCTCAATTGTAGACACTTGGAAGTTCTAGATCTTGGAGAAAGCAAGAAAAATGATACATTCCCCCACTGGTTGGGAACTCTTCAAAACTTGCAGGTTCTTGTCTTGAGATTTAATACGTTTCATGGTCAAAAAGGCACATTCAAGACCAAGGCCAAACATCTTTTCCCTAAGTTGAGAATTATCGACATATCTTGCAATGAATTCACTAGCCATTTGCCAACAAATTATATCAAACAATTTGGAGCTATGATGAATGTAGGTGAACATGAATAGAAATTGAAATATATGGGTGACTACTATTATCAAGATTCTGTTGTGGTAATGATGAAAGGACATGAAATTAAATATTCAAGAATCTTAACAGTCTTCTCAATCATTGATTTTTGAAGAAATAAATTCCAAGAAGAGATTCTGAAATCCATTGGGAGGCTTAATTCACTTCAGGTTTTAACTTATCCCATAACAACCTTTAAGGCCACATTCCAATTTCACTTGGAAATTTGAAAAACCTTGAATCATTGGATCTTTCCTCAAACACGTTTGTTGGGGAGATTCCTCAGCAATTGAAAAGTTTGATGTTTCATGAGGTACAAAGCCTTTCAGACAACCAACTAGCAGGGCCAATTCCTCAAGGGAGCCAGTTTAATACATTTGGAAATGATTCATACAGTGGAAACTTGGTCTTATGTGGATTCTCTTTATCAAAGAAATGTAAGGAACTACAGCCACTGCCACCTCCACCAACACTACAACAAGACGAGAATTTAGACAGCTCAAGCGGATTTAACTGGCAAGTTGTAGTGTTGGGGTATGGATGTGGATTTGTATTTGGAATGGTTGTTGGATATCTTATGTTTGTAACCAAAAGACCATAATGGCTTGTGAAAATTGTTGAAGGAAAACATAATAAGAAGATGGAAAGGTCTAAGAAGGGTGCCCACTGATACAGTGAAAGAAGAAATCAACAAAGTCAAATGGCAATATTAGGTAATTGGAATATATCTTTGCAAAATTAATTTGTTGGATTATCTTTTATGGTTTCTATCTATAAGCTATATTTGAGTTACTATTTTTTATTTTTTATTTTTTTAAAAAAAAAAGAAACTAGTTATTTTCCTTTAGGTTGCACAATAAAGCAATGGAATCTAATTGAAGGGGTGTCTCACCTAGCTGTTGCATTTGAGTGTATGTGCATCAAAATAGCAGCTATATAGGATCACTTCAAAAGCTTTACTTTTGTTGCTGTATTAAATTCTAAAGCTTTGTTAAGTTGTTTAGTTTTCTTAAAGCACTAAGTTAAATAAGAATTGCATGTTATGACTATTTCGTGCTTCTTTTCTTGCATCGTGTAGCAACCTTTGAAAATTTTCACTATTGCATGTAGTTGCTTTTAAATTGGATTTCAGTCACAGAAGATGAGGCCTTAAATAAGAGTTGCATGTTTTTAACTTCGAAATGCAATCTTACAAGTTACAATTCCAACCATTCCCTTTGTTACATTCTTAATCATTTTGAGGAATAGAAATGTTGGCTAGTAGATAGAAAATTTACATTAAAAGTGATGTTTATATGTTAGTCTTGGAGCAGTGCTTTTACTCGTTGCTATTATAGTGCAGCCGACCTTTCAACATCTTTTCTCTTCCATTCATTTCTATCAATGAACAGAATTGATGATAATTAGTTTGTTTTTTCATTTTTTCATCTTCAATGGTGATTGGCGAATCAAACTGGAGATATTTTTGCTAGTTCTTGTTCAAAGATGTGGGAATTTTGTGATTAATTTTGTGATTAGTTTTGCGTGTACTTTACTTACATGTGTTCATACCTTGCCTGTTTTACACATTGCATGCGTTTCAACGTGTGCTTTACTTACATGTGTTTATGCATCTCAAAGGAGGTTACACATTGCTTGCGTTAACCCGCATGCTTTACTTACATGTGTTCATTCGGAGGTTACACATTGCTTACGTTAACCTGCATGCTTTACTTACATGTGTATATGTATTCTCAGGTGGTTACACATTGTATATGTTTTGCGTGTACTTTACTTACATGTGTTCGTACCTTGCCTACTTTACACATGGCATGTGTTTCTACGTGTGCTTTACTTACATGTGTTCAAGTTTCGTTTTTATACACATTGCATGCGTTGTCGCGTTATGCTTTACTCGCATGTATTCAAGTTCCTCGTCATACACATTGTGCACGCTGTCACGTGTTCTTTACTTACATGTGTTGGTGCCTTCATAGCATTGTTAGGCTTGTTTCAAATTGCATTGTCATGCATTCCTTCACTTGCGTCGTCGCACAGTCTTAACTCTCATTGTCATTGTAACGCCCCGACCCTTTACACGTCATCGATATTGTCTGCTTTGGGCCACGCCCGCACGGATTTGTTCTTCCCAGTGGGTCACCCATCCTAGAACTACTCCAGCCTAAGCACGCTTAACTGGGGAGTTCTAATAGGGATTTCACCACTTGGGAAAAGGCCTCGATGCTATATAAGGGTCTAGGTTTTTATTTTTATAGCCCAGGAACTCCCCCTCCATTCCCGATGTGGGGGGACACCGGGGCCTTACACACATATACTTAATAATAACTCACACCACATATTAGTAATTAACGTCTTGTATACCTAGGATCATTCAAACACATAGTCAGCTATATCAAGAGCTTATACACATACATGGTCTACCATGACCGATAGAAATAGCAAAAGAAAATACAAGGGTCGTAAACAAGCCTCTTGCATGAGGCCTCTAGGTTGACTTCACAAAACTCGGGGTACTTTCTTAAACTCCACTAAGGCTAGGGTTGAACATCCCTTTGCTCACCTACATACATATAAAAAAAGAGAGAGATTTGCTAATCTATCTTCTTTGGCAATCAACTCAATCTTTTTTAATTGTCAACTGCATGGGAAATTCTCAGAAAACATTTTTCTCTTTCCAACCTACGAAAGCTCAATGTACAGGAAATTTGGAACTCTACAGGTAAACTTCACCTACTTCAATGTGACTAGTTCCTTTCAGTTTCTTGATCTCTCTCGATATATGTTTTTCTGGCCAATTGCCTAATCAAATCAGCAATCTTAAAGCCTTGAATATTTTGCAACTCTATCATTGCAATCTTTTCGGGGTCAATTCCAGCCTTTTGGGAACCTTACACAAATCACCAAGGTTAGGCTTCGGGTTTTAACAATTTCAACGGTCAAATCCCCTCATCAATTTCAAACCTCCGCAAAGCTTTCTTACTTGGATCTTTTCATAAACAATTTGAGCGGAAAATACCGGATTCCCTTGGTAACATGAGCCAACTTACTTGTTTGGATCTTTCATTTAACAATTTGATAGGTGAAATACCGGATTCCCTTGGCAACATGAGCCAACCTACTAACTTGGTTCTTTTCGAAACAATTTGAATGTCAATACCAAATTCCTTTGACAACATGAGCTAACTCAATCAACTGCACCTTTCTGATAAGGTTCATTCCTTCATATGCAGTTGGGCTTTCAAAGCTAACTTCTATCATATTGAAAAATAACAGACTCAATAGGACAATTCTCGTCTTGGTTGTTTGGTCAACCTTCATTGGTTGATATATATTTGAGTAACAATATGCTATAGGGACCAATTCCAGGATCAGTTTATGAACTCCAGAACCTAACAGACTTGGTGCTTTCATCAAATAACTTAAGTGGTGTAGTGGAGTTAGATAAGCTGCTTAAGCTAAAACATTTGTCCTACCTTGATCTCTCATATAATGGTCTCTCATTGAACATCAACAATAGTGTCAACTCTATTTTTCCCTACTTTACACGATAAGATTATCTTCTTGCAACTTAAGCGAATTTCCAAAATTCTTGAGAGAACATGCTGGATTGCGTTCTCTAGACCTTTCAAACAACAAAATTCATGGTGAAGTTCCAAAGTGGATATTCGATGTGGGGAAAGATTCATTGTATGATTTAAATCTTTCTCATAATTTCCTCACCAGTTTAGAGCTCTTCCATTGAAAAATCTAAGATCAATTGACCTACACTCCAACTTGCTCCAAGGATCACTCCCTCTTCCACCAAACACCACAGATTTCTTCTCTATCTCGGACAATAAATTGATAGGAGAAATAACTCCATTGATTTGCGGTCTTTCACTTGCAGTTCTTGATGTGTTTAATAACAGTTTGAGTGGCTTGATTCCACAATGTTTGAAAACTTAAGCAATTTTCTTCTGGTGTGAATGTAGGGAACAATATATTTCGTGGTACCTTTACTACAACATTTACAAAAGGAAACATGCTAAGGAATCTTAACTTAAATGGCAACCAAATTAAAGGACAAGTTCCACAATCTTTGCTCAATTGTAGACACTTGGAAGTTCTAGATCTTGGAGAAAGCAAGAAAAATGATACATTCCCCACTGGTTGGGAACTCTTCAAAACTTGCAGGTTCTTGTCTTGAGATTTAATAGTTTCATGGTCAAAATAGGCACTTCAAGACCAAGGCCAAACATCTTTCCCTAAGTTGAGAATTATCGACATATCTTACAATGAATTCACTAGCCTTTGCCACAAATTATATCAAACAATTTGGAGCTATGATGAATGTAGGTGAACATGAATAGAAATTGAAATATATGGGTGACTACTATTATCAAGATTCTGTTGTGGTAATGATGAAAGGACATGAAATTAAATATTCAAGAATCTTAACAGTCTTCTCAATCATTGATTTTTGAAGAAAATAAATTCCAAGAAGAGATTCTGAAATCCATTGGGAGGCTTAATTCACTTCAGGTTTAACTTATCCCATAACAACCTTTAAGGCCACATTCCAATTTCACTTGGAAATTTGAAAAACCTTGAATCATTGGATCTTTCCTCAAACACGTTTGTTGGGGAGATTCCTCAGCAATTGAAAAGTTTGATGTTTCATGAGGTACAAAGCCTTTCAGACAACCAACTAGCAGGGCCAATTCCTCAAGGGAGCCAGTTTAATACTTTTGGAAATGATTCATACAGTGGAAACTTGGTCTTATGTGGATTCTCTTTATCAAAGAAATGTAAGGAACTACAGCCACTGCCACCTCCACCAACACTACAACAAGACGAGAATTTAGACAGCTCAAGCGGATTTAATGGCAAGTTGTAGTGTTGGGGTATGGATGTGGATTTGTATTTGAATGGTTGTTGGATATCTTATGTTTGTAACCAAAAGACCATAATGGCTTGTGAAAATTGTTGAAGGAAAACATAATAAGAAGATGGAAAGGTCTAAGAAGGGTGCCCACTGATACAGTGAAAGAAGAAATCAACAAAGTCAAATGGCAATATTAGGTAATTGGAATATAATCTTTGCAAAATTAATTTGTTGGATTATCTTTTATGGTTTCTATCTATAAGCTATATTTGAGTTACTATTTTTATTTTTTTTTTTAAAAAAAAAGAAACTAGTTATTTTCTCTTTAGGTTGCACAATAAAGCAATGGAATCAATTGAAGGGGTGTCTCACCTAGCTGTTGCATTTGAGTGTATGTGCATCAAAATAGCAGCTATATAGGATCACTTCAAAAGCTTTACTTTTGTTGTGTATTAAATTCTAAAGCTTTGTTAAGTTGTTTAGTTTTCTTAAAGCACTAAGTTAAATAAGATTTGCATGTTATGACTATTTCGTGCTTCTTTTCTTGCATCGTGTAGCAACCTTTGAAAATTTTCACTATTGCTGTAGTTGCTTTTAAATTGGATTTCAGTCACAGAAGATGAGGCCTTAAATAAGAGTTGCATGTTTTTAACTTCGAAATGCAATCTTACAAGTTACAATTCCAACCATTCCCTTTGTTACATTCTTAATCATTTTGAGGAATAGAAATGTTGGCTAGTAGATAGAAAATTTACATTAAAAGTGATGTTTTATATGTTAGTCTTGGAGCAGTGCTTTTACTGTTGCTATTTAGTGCAGCCGACCTTTCACATCTTTTTCTCTTCCATTCTTTCTATCAATGAACAGAATTGATGATAATTAGTTTGTTTTTTTCATTTTTTCATCTTCAATGGATTGGCGAATCAAACTGGAGATATTTTTGCTAGTTCTTGTTCAAAGATTGGGAATTTTTGTGATTAATTTTGTGATTAGTTTTGCGTGTACTTTACTTACATGTGTTCATACCTTGCCTGTTTTACACATTGCATGCGTTTCTACGTGTGCTTTACTTACATGTGTTTATGCATCTCAAAGGAGGTTACACATTGCTTGCGTTAACCCGCATGCTTTACTTACATTGTTCATTCCTGCTAACACATTGTTGCATTACGGCATGCTTTACTTACATGTGTATATGTATTCTCAGGTGGTTACACATTGTATATGTTTTGCGTGTACTTTACTTACATGTGTTCGTACCTTCCTACTTTACACATGGCATGTGTTTCTACAGTGCTTTACTTACATGTGTTCAAGTTTCCGTTTTTATACAATTGCATGCGTTGTCGCGTTATGCTTTACTCGCATGTTTCAAGTTCCTCGTCATACACATTGTGCACGTGTACCGGTTCTTTACTTACATGTGTTGGTGCCTTCATAGCATTGTTAGGCTTGTTTCAAATTGCATTGTCATGCATTCCTTCACTTGCGTCGTCGCACAGTCTTAACTCTCATTGTCATTGTAACGCCCCGACCTTTACACGTCATCGATATTGTCTGCTTTGGGCCACGCCCGCACGGATTTGTTCTTCCAGTGGGTCACCCATCCTAGAACTACTCCAGCCTAAGCACGCTTAACTGGGGAGTTCTAATAGGGATTTCACCATTGGGAAAAGGCCTCGATGCTATATAAGGGTCTAGGTTTTTATTTTTATAGCCCAGGAACTCCCCCTCCATTCCCGATGTGGGACATCGGGGCCTTACAATCCACCCCCATAAGGCTGCACGTCCCTGTGCAGTAGCCTGCCAGCTCGCAAGCCCGCCCACATGCACCGAGAGACGCCAGGGGCCACACTCGTACTCCCGGAGAGTCGTCTCTGATACCATTTTGTAACGCCCGCGACCCTTTACACATTATCGATATTGTCCGCTTTGGGCCACACCCGCACGGATTTGTTCTTCCC